CACCAGATAGACACCAATCGGCAAATGTACGGTTGACTTGCGCCGCGTGCACTTCATCTTCTCTCTCAGCGATAAAACCACTTAAAAGATTCAATGGTTCGCGAATTGAGGGGATGTGCAGGTATTTCAGGCCCGAGTCGTTGTCCACAAACTCTTTATTAACTGTTGAATATCCGCCGATTTTGCACCTTTTGAGCCAAATCATGCGCGCCGTTTCATTTGCAGTCATTGACAACGTCTCCAGACCTTCCCCTTCAATGTTTTTAATATTATTTGCGGCCATAATTGAGCTGTAGATCAATACGTGATTTAAATGATAGGAATATATTTAATCAATAAATTTACTAAATATTTGCACTCGATTTACAAATTACTACAATTTTATTTTTGAATTTATATTTTTTTATAACATAATACTAATAATTATATTGATTTAAATATTCGATAAGTATCTTATTAATAGATTTTGTTTTTAACATTCATTTCATAATTAATTTAAAATTATAATTACGTTGCCAGTGAATTTACATGACTCAATATGTAAAAGTGTAAAACTCAATGTACAGTATAAAATATAATATTCTAATAATATTAGTTGTATTATATAATTGAGGTATTGATAGACTTACCTTGATAAAATACACTTCAAATAACATATTATAATCAGATAAAATATGTGAAGTTATAATTTATAACTCAAACTGTAAATACAATTATCAATTTTATTTTAATCATTATGCATTAATATAATCCCAAACTTATAAGTAAAGCTCACAAAAAGAGATAAAAATATTTTAATTGTTGTAATCTTTGAAAAATACGAGATTAGTGTTATTATATCGCTAAATATTCAACAATTATGCCCGATACTCGGGTCCGGGTTTAGCTAAAACAACTCTTAACATTATTGATTAAAATTTTATAGTTAAAGTTGAATTTAGAGATATTACAAATATAATTTATTCAAACAATAAATCAGGCAATTATTCATCTACAAAATTAAAGACTATTTTTGAATAGTAAATTGTAAACCCGGGTATTGGGTTTAATTTCTGGGTATTTAGCGAATACTAGTCTCGTATTTTCAAAAATTACAACAATTAAAATATTTTATTCGCTATCAGTAGTAAAACCATTCAAGAGATCCAATGGTTCGTCAATTGACGGGATGTGCAGGTATTTCAGACCCGAGTCGTTGTCTACAAACTCTTTGTTATCCATTGAATATCCGCCCATCTTTTCCCTGTGGAGCCAAACCATACGTTTTGTATTCTTAGTGATTGACAGCGTCTCCAGAGAACATTCCTCTGTCGTGTCTTCACTTCTATTTGTTGCCATTATTTTAATATAACTTAATTATAATATTCGTTATATTTTGCGATTTTCAAATTCAATTCCTATTTCACAATTAATAGTTAGTTATAATATTAATAACTTATTAAGGTATTTAGGCAGTATATTATTGTGCCATAATAAAATTATAATAGTTATAATCAAATGTTGTTATAAATTAGTATTATTAAGTTACATAAAATATTCTCAGGGGAGAGGTTTGCATAGAGACTCCCCTAAATTAACTAAAGTTAATTGAACTCGTGATAAGATATAAATAATAGATATAATTGTGAATTTGATAATTTATTGTTTAATTTTTAATATACAGCTTGATTTATAATCAATTTACACGAATCATACTTTATTTAATTGTTAATCAATTATTTTATCTATCATTGTTCAATTATTATTCTATCATTGTGAATTACATTATGGTTCTAAAACTTTTAAAAATTCATATACATAGAAATTAATTCATGCAAATAGAAATTTGTATTTTATTATTTTATTCTTTAAATATTATAATAATTGTGACAAATTTTGAATTAATTTGTCATATTTTAATCTATAATGTGATACATATTTCATTCAATAGATTTTAATTACTTTAATGGAAACCATTGATATACCACTCGGGGAGGACTCTTAAACGATCCGCCGATGAATGTCGGGTACATGTGATGCCCTGCGATGGCAGGCATTCAAACTCATAGACAATATTCGGGTCATCGATAGTCACCACATCTTTCACATGAGATAAGAATGTATTCAAGAAATTGAGGCAAATATTTGAATTTAAAGACATGCTATTAGAAAGAGTATTTGCTTTCATCTCTTTCACATCAGTCACCACATAGTTGTGGTCTTTCTCGCCGTAATATATAGTGGACACACCTTTGAGAAAGCAATCGGTCCACAACTTGGATCTATAGTGACGGTTGTCTACAGATCCCACTCTTGGGGTCTTGAGATCAACAAAATCTTTGAGAGACAGAGACTTGACTTTTGATTTTAAATCTGATTGAATGCAATCCGTTCTGAAGGAATACACCACTGAATGATAGACACGATTGCTATCATTTATATCTTCGAGTCGAGTCTTGACAACCGCGTGATAGTGCTTAGTATTGGGTACAAAGTCATTGCCTGGGGGTGTGTTTGGGTCACCACTTGTCATATATTGTTCAAACCGGTGACCAGAAAACCAGGCCTTTTCTTGTTTGCTTCGGGGTGTTGTGTAGCCCTCGTCATAGCTCTTGCGATTAATATAGATATTCCCCCGATATTTCGTGGCCGACACTACCATTGAACCAAACTTTCCGTACGGAAAAGTCATTATATATGCCAATACACGTCGATTGCATATGAAGTCTGTGTCCAACAGTTTGTCTTCACTCCCAATAAGCTTATGGTTATTCTTTGAGAGCCATTCCAATGGATACCAATCGGTATAACACTTACAGCTTTCATCTGAAAAGGGTATTTCTTCCACAGTATAACCATTTAAGAGATCCAATTGTATGGGATTTGAAGGAATGTGAAGGTATTTGAGGCCCGAGTCGTTATCTATAAACTCTTCATTAATCATTGAATATCCGCCAATCATTTGCCTCTGAAACCAAACTCTACGGCCACTAACTCTAGTGATTGGTAATTGATTTGAGGCCATAATTGATATCTAAATCAACAAATAAGTTATTAAAAAATATATTTAATTCTTTGAGTTATAATTTAATTTAAATTGAAATAAATATAGTTTAGTAATAGTTAAAGTTGGGGTTGAATACGTGAATACTGTTCAATAGAATATTTCTGTGCTATTTATTGCATTCTATATCATGCAATCATACAATCAATTCATGCAATCAATATTATTCAAAGTATACATGATAAAAATGTACATTCTGATACTAAAAAATAAAAAATTTAATTACTATAATGTAACTACAATCAGATCCCGATTTAAGAAAATCACTGGTACAAGATAGTTTTGTCCCTTAAATCGGTGTACCCTTATACCGGGGTTAGTGTTAATCAGAGTAAAAATTATAGAAAAATATAAAATAACACAATTTAGTCAAATTTTAAATGAATTATTAATAGCAGTAAAATATTGAAGTGATTCATATATTGCAATCATTATACAGGAATGTCAATCATCTTTTATAATAATAGTAACGACATATTTAAATACAAACATTGTTTTATAATTATGAATAACTCATTGTTAAACACATTATGAATCTGGCTTTACTTTCAATCACTTGTTTTATTAAATTGTTTTATAAGACTTCTTAATCTAAATGAAATATACTTTAAGATTTATAATAAAAGCCTAATATTATATTCTCGTAACTCGTAATACATTTAATTGATATTTATTAAGTGTCCCAAAATTGCCTGTCATCTCAATATTTTTCAAATTTATTTTTGAAATAATTCACAATTATATTGAAAAGTGTGTTTTTGTTGGAATTTATAATTACAATTCTCTTAAATAGGGGTCGAATCTTGCTATGTGTGCACTAAATTGTGTACCTTATTTCGAGTTCGCCCTTAAATCGAGTTTATTTTATCCTTAAATCGGGTCTCAATAACATTACAGTACCCATAGAAGCGGCGGTGAAGCAATAAACTGCTCCTTATATCGAATTAGCTTTAAATCGAAGTCAACTAAATTGGGGTTCAATTGTATTACTTTCTATTATAATTTAAAATAAAATCTATAGATGTATTACAAATTAAAGCAAATTTGTTTTTATTTTCTATTTCATTTTTAATAATTGTTATAAAAATAAGAATTTAAAGAGAAATGTATTGTTATTTAGACACAAAATGCATTCAAACAAACATGTATTGACAGCATTATAAATTAATAATTTATAAATAATTTATAAATATATAAATTTTAAATTCTAATTAAATGTACTCTTATTTCATTGAAAAATCACAATTTTTATTTTTCACTCTTTTTTTTACAAAAATTACAAAAACTACTTCAATACTCAATACTATACTTTATGGTAATTTTAATTATTATCCAAAAATACGTTAAATTTTAAATAATTTTGTATTTTACATATTTTGCGTTAATTTATAATATGATAAATATTTATATCATTCAACAAATAATGAATATTGATCTCTAAATTTTAAATTCCTTGATATACCACTCGGGAAGCACTTGATATTCTCCCGGTTCTGCTAATCGGATGCAAGTGATGGGTTCGGTTGGTATGAAATCAAACCGATAGACAACATACGGGTCGTCAATAGTTACCACTTCTTTCACATAAGATAAAAATGTATTCAAAAAATTGAAACAAACATCTCGTGACCAGTCCTTTATGAGATCAAACGTCTCCACTCTCTCCACTTTATTGACCACAAAATTGGTGTCTTTGTGGCCGAAATATATGGTCGAAACACCTTTCAAATAGGCTTCGGTCCACAACCGGAGCCTTTTGAACGGGTGTTTCTCTGTGCCCTCTCTTTTGGTCCGGATTTCGGCAAAATCTTCGAGCGCTGCCGTCTCTGGCATCACATCCGGAAGAATGCAATCAATTGGAAACGAATACATTAGCGAATGAAAGACACCGCTGTTTCTACTGTTGCAGAGTTGTGTGCGGACAACAGCGTTATAATAGCTAAAGTCGGGGTCAAACTGATTGCGGTCACGGCTCGCGTCGGGAGCACTAGTGGTCAGATACTGTTTGAATCGTCGCTCAGAAAAGTTATGCTTCAATGAGTCGTCAATGGATGCGGTGTTCAATGGGCTGTGATTTTTCCAACACATGTATATATTTCCCCGAAATTTTGTGGCCAATAGTATTTTACTGGACATCCTTTCGTACGGGAATGTCATTATGTATGATAAGAGCCATCGGCCGGACACGAAGTCCGTGTCCAACAGCTTATCGCCGCCGGCCATAAACTCTTGGCCTTCGTTTGATATCCATTGCAAAAGTTTTCCCGCAGTGAAAGACATTACGCACTCGTGTTCACAGTTATAGTCAATAGTATAACCGTTGAGCAAATTATAAGACATATCACGCGATGGTATGTCCAAGTATTTGAGTTCCGAGTGACCGCTCTTATACTCGGTATTCACCACAGAGTATCCGCCGATCTTTTGCTTATCGAGCCATACCTTATGTCCCCAATCTTTAGTGATCGGCAAGTTTTCCAGAAGCAGATCCTCTAATGGATCAACTCTTTTGTTGGACAAATTGGGGACCAAAGGGCTGCTTAGGATCGAACCCTATATACAGTATATATATTGCCATTTCAGTACAACATTATCACAGAAAATCCCAAACACTGCTTACCATTGAATAAATAGAATGATTATAATTGCAATTAATTTGAACAGAAAATGTATTACAAAATAATTGTTTTATATAATTAAAACATAGCAGGAAATGAAGACATTAATGCAAACACCAAACACCATGGTACAATATGTAATTCATATTGAGTAATGTTTAATTAAGTAAAAATACTTTACCCAATAAAATGCACAAAAACCATATAGATTTTGAGTAATTGCTTCAGAATTTGGCTGTTTTTTACTCATAATTGGTATTAATAGATGATTAACTATACGACGATTGGATAAAAATGAATACAACATGAATTTTTCGGGACAAATGTAAAATATTATTTATTTAAAATTCAACTATTATTATAAAATATAAGATTTATTTAACTACTAATAAAACATTTAAACACAACAAATGTTAAGATTTAAGAAAAGCAATGACAGAATCGACGAATTGATTGGGTTTTTCGACGTGAAGGTAATGCCCGGTTCCGGCCATACATTCAAACTGTATGTTAGGTATGAGTTCACGAATAGCCTTATAATCATCTAATCTGTGAAATAGTTTATAAATATAAACAAATGAATTTCCCACAAAACTTTATAAAATATGATTTTACATTCACATTACATTACATTACTTTCATACCAATGTTATAAAAGCATAATTTAATTAAAGAGAGAGAGAGAGAGAGAGAGAGAGAGAGAGAGAGAATAGGAAATAACATTTTATATCATTTTTGGGTCAAATAAAATAATTAAGGCATACTTTGCATAATATATTTGACACTTACTTAACATATTCTGAATTCTGTCCGTGAATTAGAAATGTCTGTCCAGTGAATGGACTTTTAATTTCCAAATGATTAATATATTTCTTTTCTAACATCACTTTAATTGCCTGTAAATTAAATCTCCAAAACAGTTGCGATGTCTCGGAATTCTTGTCTAAACTCATCAAAAAGAATCCGCGAATGAATTGGTCCTAAATTTTTAAAACACTTAAATCAATAACAATTAAATTAAGTGTAAATCACTGACGGAAACAAATGGCTTGAGATTCTCGTTGACCAGTTTGCGGGCCTCCCATAGACTCGTGTTTTTCGGTATGCCTTCAATCGCTTTAGACATTTGGTCAGTGAATGTGGATTTCGTGAAGAATACTTTGGGTAGCGATGAGAGGGGACTGATGTCCACCACAACCAACTTCTCCACCGATTCAGGCTTTGGTGAAGACATTATAATTCAATCAAATATGGATTCAATTGTTGGGATCAATACAACTCACCCACAGAAATGAGAATTGCATTACAACTCGACCGCCGAGACTATCAATTGTTGTAAACAATTATCACTAATATATCACTTAAAGAGATGTGTTGGCAAACCTGTGGCCAATCAGTGTCGCTGTCTTCAAATTATTTTCCTCCAGAAATAGCTGAATATCAGTGGCCATCGCTTTTAGAGTGCTATCGGTTCCCGATGTGTGCGGACTTAAGCCGTGGTTTCGCAGATCCAACGCATAGACAGAGCGACCAGTTCTCGACGATATGGACTTCGAGATAGACTTCCAGTTGTTTTTGCTGCCGAAGAGGCCGTGAAATATGAGAATCGGCGGAAGCGATGATTGTTGACCATCGATGACACTTTGCATGTCGTACGACAGTCTCACTCTATTATCACCGCTTAACCATCGAGTTTGACCGCAAACTGGTCTCAGACTGTGGCTAAACAATAGCCGATTTGGCCAAAAGTGATTGCATTTGAGAGCATTCATGGCGTGGGATCTGATGAGTGAAGACATAGTCAATGATAACACAAAATATAGTGTGAAATGTTGTGATTGTGAGAGTCATGCGAATCACGTGATCAGTCAGTGATGTTATACTGCGAGCAAAATGTAATGCATTTTAGTTTATAGTGTCTGACAGTTATCATAGATGTTATATATCTTTGGCTATCAGTTCCAGCGGTTATCCATGGATAAGAAGACAATAAATCACTCCATAATCCATTAATCCATGCCATTTACCATTCAATGCCATAAATCCGTTGTTTGACTCAAAATTGCTTAGTTTTCAGCATTTAATGAAAGAGAAAAACTTTTTATAAAATTAAACAAATACTGCATAGAATTTAATTAATTATTTTTTCATTTAAAATATATTATAAATCGTATAATTATTTTATATATAAAATGTCATTAATTTCTCAAATATAATTATAATACAAATATCATTAAAAACATTTATATCTTCTAAAAAAATTATTGTAATTATATTCTTATATTTAAAAAGTTGTTGTTTTAATGGATTATTAATTAAAATAACAATTTATTTTTTCATTCAAATGAGAGACTATTATAACAATTAAAATGATAAAAACATTGTGTGTTTTGTGTGTCTAATAGTGTTTGTGTGAAAAAAAACTTGTAATTTATTGTGTGTTATAATTATTAACTAAATAATTATTATAACTATTATATAAATGGCGTTTAATTAGCAACACTTCTTGTGCCGACTCTTGTGAGCGCTTCCTTTGTGCACTTTAATGGCGTTATTGTCAGTGTTCTGGCGATCCTTCGTATCCTTCTTCGTCCTCAACACCATTCTTGTGATGGCGTTAAACATGTCCTCAACGTTGATGTTCTCCTTCGCCGACGTCTCAAACAATTGAATACCCATTTGATCAGCAAATCGTTGAGCGTCTTCTGTGACCACAACCTTACGGTTCGGGTCGTCGTTCTTATTGCCCACTAAATCACACAATCAATCAGATATTAGAGCCCAATATTTCTCTTTGGATCAAATACAAACCTAATATCCTGTTGACGACATCGCAGTTCTGGTCGATCTCGTGTAGCCATCGCTTGACGTTAGCAAAGGTGTCACCATTTGTCACGTCATAGACAACAATCACGCCATGAGTTCCCCTGTAGTAACTGTTAAGACAATACAAAGACAATCAACGCTATGGTAGTGACAGTAGTGGTGATAATAGCACTCACGTCGATGTAATAGTGCGGAACCGCTCCTGTCCTGCGGTGTCCCATATCTGGAGCTTCACTTTCTCGTTGTCCACTTCAATGGTGCGGATCTTGAAGTCGACACCAATTGTAGTGATATAACTGCCAGAGAAGGTGTTGTCCGCGAACCGCAACAAAAGGCTACTTTTGCCGACGCCTTAAGAGACAACAAACAGATTAATTATCGCAAGAGTGGACACAAACGGTGGTCACCAATACATACCGCTGTCGCCGATTATCAACAACTTAAACAAGTGGTCGTATTCTTTAGCCATCGGATCAGACAATCAGTAAATAATTTTTTGTGACAATTAATGAAACACTCAATGAATTTCTAAGACTATTGTTTTTATGACATATAAATCAAACACTAATCAAAACAAACACAACAAATAAAATACTGTAAATTAGATTATAATTTAATAATGTATTCACTCTATAGTGAACATAACGGGTGTGCAAAACGTGTACACAATTTAAACCTAAACTAAAAGCGATTCAATTGAAGGTATAGTTAATTAATGGCAATAATTATGATTGAATTAACGTTAGAGTTGTTGTCCTCCTCTTCACAGACACTGATATCACTTCACATATAAATAGCCCACAGTTTTGGGCCATTAATAATGTAAACCTTATTTCATTGCCTTTGCAAATGAGGGCACGAGTTATGCATTGCTTATTAGAGGGCTATTCCTATTGAAAACCGATTGGGGTTTCAATAGTTATGCCATAAAAGTGGACGTAATTTATGCCACGAGTTATGGGTTTGTCTCTCACAGTGTGTTTGACTCAAAGGGAGATTTGATTCGTTATGTAATCACATGTTATATGCAATGCATTAATGAATCACTCAATCATTTATTATTGTTTTTTTAATCAATGAATAAATTGCTGTCAAAACACGTGTTGTCGTCGGCGGCGGTGACGAGTCGGTGGTCGCGGCCAGCGATGAGTCAAATACAGTGCCGAAGTGTGACATATGATGTGTTGCCGACCGGCGAGAAGGTTGTGGTCAACAAATACCCGAAGAGGTCGTCGAAGAGGGAGGACTGGCAGAGGGTTCGGCCCATGGGTTATGAGCCGAGACTTCGCAAACTCAAGATCTGGGAACAGAACGATCGCATCACAGCTGATCCACGAGTGGCCAGAAATACGGCCGCATCTAAACTACAGTCCATGAAAGACGATCTCCTCAACAGAGGGTTTGTTGCCATTGGTTTTGCTGTCTTTTGATTTGCATTTTATTGTGTAATGTCTTTAATCGCCGTTTTCTCTTCGGTGTCCTCTTTTGTGGCCACAGTTTCTGCAGAGAAACCAAACCATACGATCCGCCCAAAGATGTCTATAATATCATCGAAAGTGTTTGCCGTCAAGTGTTTGAAAATCAGAGCCAAAGTAAAAACTGGTCACAGAATTCACTGTCCGATCGTATCGTCAAATTTAAGGTCACTTTTCATTGATTTGAGTTTTTGACAACAAAATCACTCATTGATTGTGTGTTTTATTCATTAGTTTTTGACCAAATGTAACGAAGAGTTGAATCATGAGATCCCAAATTCAATGCTGTATTTAATGAGAACCGTTTCCGATGTCGTTGAGTACTATTCAACGCCAATCCGTGGCATCACTTCATACGACCAAATGGTCCAAAATAGCGATCAATTGCCGCAAAATCTTCACGTAATCGGAGAACCGCTTCGATTTAATCCCGAAACGGACACATTCTTCGGCGGTATTAGTGCCTATCCTTTCCACGACCAACGAGTCAAAGGTTTGAGGGCTAAGAAAAAGTATCCCGTAATTAAAGGGCACTTCAAATGGCCGGACGTCTGAGTTTCTAATGAAAGCGTTTTATTTTTCATTTATGATTTAAAATACATTATAAGAACTGATTTTTATTATAATAATTAAGTTTTAGGTCTGTTTTTCGATTAAAATATATAAATAGACAACAAATATATAAAATAAAATCTTATTGCACTAAAATTATCACTTCTTATGACTAAAGAGTGACAGTTTAGTTGTTTTGCCGCTCTTGTGAGTGTTGGGTACGGCTAACGTTCCCAATAGCATACGAGCCTTGTCTTCGTCGCCCTCTTCGGTGGGCAGAGCGGCGTTGGCGTCGATCTCGACCGACAGTGACTTAGTTTTGCCCGAAATGTGAAACTTGTGTTTCAGTGCCTGCGATAACAACACGCGTTTGGAGTCGTTCTTGAGGGCCATGAGTAGGTCGAGCCACGTCCACGTCCTGTTGTGGTACTCCATCGTCGGTAATATAATGGACACGTTATGCAAATCCTCTAAATTCTTGCCTTTGTTGCCCTTATAGCTGACCCGAATCGGCACTTCTGGTATCTTAATGTAGACAAACGTCTGATTCTTTTGGGCTCTTTCGCGCATTTTCTCGATATGCCTTTCGTTGTCTTTAGTCATCTGCAGTGTCGATGTGGTCGCTGACGATGACTGACCGACGGACTTAGCGGACATGGGTGTGACCGCCGAGCTATTGGTGCCGTTACTCGACACACTTTGAATGCTTTCATCGCGTTTCAAATTACTTCGCTTTTTATTTCCCTTCACTTGTGGCTCATTGTATTCGTTGGCCTCCGAATGGGACGACTGTCCGGACAGTCGGTCCGGGAAAAAGAATTTCAACATATTCTTGAAGAAGGCGTACGTCAAGCCCAGTGTCAACGGTATGACATTGACCTCCAGGTGCTCTTTGACGGGAATACCGCCGACGGGCGCCCTTTCGCGACAGAATATTCTCAACGCTATCTGTCGGTCGAGCGGTATATTGGGCTGCAATTCAGTCAATTGAATGACATCTTTGTAGACCTGATTGGGCAACAGATTGGAGCAGTGAATGAATCCCAACTCAAACGAATGCTCCACCGAATCGTCGTTTTTGCTCACTTTGGTGTACAAGAAGTTGCTGAGCACCAGATCAGCCAAACCCAACTGGCCGTCCGCGTCGGTGAGCCGCCACACGGCGTGCTTGAAACAGACCTCATTGCGTCGAATCACGTTCGCGAACGGCGCTCCGTCCGACTCCTGGGCGGCCGACTGGCGCTCTCTTGTCTTGGATGCGCTGAGTTGTGCCTCTTTGTAACAGTTGATCATAATAGTGAGGTCTTCGCTGGCGATGTTGAGCTCCTCTTTGCACTCATCCATCTCGAACTCGATTTGCTGGGAGTCGGCCATCAGTTTGCGCTCCAACTGAGAGCCCGAGCCGTTCTCCTCGGCCAACGTCTTGTGTATGGCGTAACTCTCTTTCTCTAT